CTCCCTCCCTCCCTCCCTCCCTCCAGACCTAAACCCCTCTCCTTAACACCCTTAACCCCAAACCCAGATCAGACCCTGAACCCTCCTGGAACTTACCACCCTCCCATGAACACCAAAAACAAAAACATATCACGAGGATTTCTGCCACCAGGGATCTGCCCTAATTGTGAAACCACGACATCCATGTGCCCCTTGGCTTCGGCGAAGCCTGCTTGCACCTGATGGCTCCAAGATTTGGGGGGTTGAGGGTTTGAGTGCGTTTAGCAGTGAAGTCTATTATGTGTATGCATACATATACATGTGTGTATATACAGAGTCACTATAGAGTTGTGTATATATACAAAACACACATATATTTGCAGATGCAATGATGTGTTATACACACATACATACAAACCCTCATAACCCTAGTTGAAGTAGCAAGGCCCCTACACCAGGCCCGAATCGACGCTATACAAAGCCACATCTCTGGGAACTGGGAGATGGAGCGCTTACAAAGGGCTGCTACCACAAAGTTACGTTTACCACCCGAAACCCGAAACCTAACAGAAGGGTCTTTCATTGGGCCTCGGTTTTGCACACCATACGTTGTGCATACTTGTCGGTACTTTTCGTTCCGGCACTTGTCGTTCTGGATTGCTTTACATGCTCCCCCGCAGGCACGGAAGGCTCTCTGGAATCACGAAAACCCTAAACACTCCTTAGTCCAACTATCAAAATCTCAAACCTGAACTCTAAGCCCTAAACCCTAAACCGAAGCTCGAAACCCTAAGCCCTAACTCACGGCGCCGCTTATTGTAGGCAGTCAAAAAGCAGGTGGGTTTGTCAAGATTTTGCTGGAAGAACAGGTTGCATTTCTTGCCGTAGAAGGGCATGAGCAACAAACCAGTCTCTTATGCTGCGGTTTGATGTTCAAGGTACCAGCGTGCTCGCTTGCTCTTCGTCCACATAAACCCGAGCAATTTCTCTACACACCCTAAACCCCTAAACCCTAAACCCAACACACACCACACGAAGAACCCTGAAAGCACACCAGTCTTCTCAGCAAGCAGCATGCTGGACAGACCTCACGCCTGCGGAACTTCTAGCTGAGATTAGCAACCTTAATTCGTAAGCCCAAAATCCGCTAAACCCTGCACCCTAAGCCCTTAACCCTGCACCCTAGACCCTAAACCCTATTCCCCCAGGGCCTATATGGTATGCACCTGGGGGTTTAGGGAAGCCTCAATGAAGCCAGGGAGCATGCACCGCGAGCTCCGCCGAGCGCTCGGCGAAGCGTTTGCGGAGGTCTTCGCACCGCTCCTCACCTTGCAGTTTAGGGTTTAGGGTTTAGGGTTTAGGCTTCACGTTTTAAAGTTTAGGGTTTAAGGTTTGGGGTCTAGAGTTTAGGGTTTAGGGTTTAGGGTTTAGGTTTAAAGGGTTTGGGGTCTAGGGTTTGGGGTTTAAAGTTTAGGGTTTGGGGTCTAGGGTTTAGGATTTAAAGTTTAGGGTTTAGGGTTTAGGGTTTGCTATTGGGTTTAGAGTTTACGGTTTGGGGTTCAGGGCTTTGGGTTGGGGGGTTTGCGCATTCTTGTTGTTGCAAAGGGTCCCAAGTAGCTATATAGTTGAATGTAGGGTTTCTATATTCGGATTTTGGAAAATATCCCCCGTAACAGTAGGACCCTTCGGGTGTGCTCGTGGTCTGGGGTTTGGGTGTTGGGGTATGGGGTTTGGAGTGCTGATTGGTCGAATGTCGGTTTAATAACTATTAATTACGAAGTCTTGAATGTGCTACTTCCGCAAGATGGAAACAGCAGATGGCTAGGAGTTGGGGTGTCGGGTTTAGAAGCTTGAGGCGAGGTCTAGTCAAGCTCACAGTTGATTGCGCTTTCAGGGTTCGAAGTGTTGAGGGATGGGACCATCGAGTTGCATCATCGTACAATAGACAAGACAACCCTAATAAAAGCCTAAACCGGCAAAAACCCGGAACAGCCGCATCAAGTCTGAGCACTGGGCCCAACAACAAAACCTAAGTAACTAGTGGTGAACCCGAACAATCACAACAACTAAGACCTGAGGCGCAACAGCACTACGCCCAAGCCCTGATCCGGTTGCATAGCTTCTAACTTGTAAGCCTCTAATATAGGGGCATTAGTAATCCACCCCCCCGGCCAACAAAAAAAAGAGTATAGGTAAGCATTAAGGCCCTTACATTCAGCTTTTGCACTCCGGGAAACTCCGTGCTCCAACATCAAAGTAAGCCCAGTCAGCCACCCGAGGTTTAGGGCCTATAGGGTCTTCAATGCTTCCGAAAGCCTCTTGAATCCCAAACCCTATAAGCCCCAAAAGCCCTAAAGATTAAACCCTTCAGGCGCTGAAAGCCCTAAACCCTACAAACTCTCAACCCTAAACCCCATAAACCCCAAAAGCCCTAAACTTTACAAACCCCAGAAGCTCTAAAGCCCATAAACCCCAAAAGCCCTACACTTTATAAAAACTCCAAAAGCCCTAAAGCCCATAAACCCCAAAAGCCCTAAACCCCATAAAGCCCAAAAGCCCTAAACTTTATAAACCCTAAAAGCCCTAAACCCCATAAAGCCCAAAAGCCCTAAACCCCATAAACCCCAAAAGCCCTAAACTCCATAAACCCCAAAAGCCCTAAACTTTATAAACCCCAAACGCCGTAAACTTTATAAATCCCAAACGCCCTAAACCCCATAAACCCCAACAGCCCTAAACTTTCATAAACCCCAACAGCCCTAAACCCCAAAATCCCTAAACCTCATAAACCCCAAAAGCCCTAAACCCCATAAAGCCCAAAAGCCCTAAACCCCATAGGCCCCAAAAGCCCTAAACTTTATACACCCCAAATGCCCTCAACTTTATAAACCCCAAAAGCCCTAAACTTTCAGCCGCGCAGCAGCTCTCGATCTTCCTCGCAAGCTCTTTGGCCCCATCTTCGGGGCTGGGATGGCAGCTGGCAGCCTCTTCCAAGGAAGATTGCTTATTTAGGGTTTAGGGTTTAGGGTTTAGGGTTTAGGGTATCATAATGATAAGCCCCTTATAGTTTAAGGTATATTGCTTCATTAGGCTTAATTCAGGGGTATTGGGCTCTCTGGGTTGCTGGCAAGGACAACCCGGTGCACGATCTGCTGAGTTCTTGTTCATATTTGGAGAGTAATTCCAGCAACTCCTGCTTGTAATTCTGATCCTGAAGCAGAGTCGTTCGGGGATTTGATTTAAGAGTTCTGATCCTGAAGCAGAGTCGTTCGTGGATTTGATTTTAAGTTACCATTCTAAAGAATCCATTCTATTTACCGTCGATCCCTATTTTTGGCAACTTAAAGTAGATCCCATAACAAGAACCCAGTTTAGGGCTGATTGGGGCTTATAAGTTCAGGATTTAGAACTTTGGGCTTTGGGTTTGTAAGTTTAAGGCTTTTACGTTTACGATTTAAGGATTTAGGGCTTAGGGGTAAAGGTTGAGGGTTTAGGGTTATAAGCTTAGGGTTCAGGGTATATAAGCTTGGGATTTAGGGTTTGTAGGTTAGGACTTGGGGTTTGGCTTTGGGTATGAACCAGACCACAAAAATACAAGCTGGTTTAGGGTTTAGGGTTTAGGGTTTAGGGTTTAGGGTTTAGGGTCTACAACGACATACAATTAACAACAACTGCTTTAGGGTTTAGGGTTTCGGGTAACTGTGGTGACAAGGGTTTAGGGTAACTGTGGTGACAGTCATGGCCATCTATGACAGAACAGGTGCCACTGCACCTCACAAGGTATCACCGCTCACAAGCCCTGACGGCATGTATGCAAACAACTTCAGGACAATATACGAGTCTCAACAGCTATCAGTAACTAGCACTGCTGGCTTGTATTCTACAATCACCACAGATATGGCTGTGAGCCCTCAACCGCCGACACTTTGACAAAGCAACCGCAACGTTTGCGGGCGCCAGCTGCAGCGCATCGCACCGTTCGTGCACCTGCTCTAAGGCTGATAGGTCTGATAGGTCCTAAAGCGATCGTGCCTTTTCTGCCCGAGTTCAGTTTGCAGCGCTGGCAGTACCCCACCAGCATTCAAATTCACTTTGTCGGAAGCACGTCCCTGTTGGTTTGGGTTCTTCTCGGTCCCCCAGCTGGGCGGTTTAGGTTTTGGGTTCAAGCGGGAGCATTCAGGCCTCCGGGGATTTTGGGCTTTTTAGGTTTGGGGCTTTGAGATTAGCGTTCGGCCCACGAGGCATTTCAGTCTTGGGAGGAAATGTGTGGTGTCAACCGTTGAGCACGCGCCATGCCTAAACCTTGCAAGCCGCAGGGCATCAAACCCTGCCACCTGTTGTCTGAAAGCCCTGGAACCTAAGAGTTCTTGACGACCAGACGTGTATACATATCAATACTAAGAATATTAGTTCGTTAGTTCGGTATAGTAGTATGAAAACCTCACAGCAAAAACACTTTAAGACTGTATATTTCTAACTGTACTAGATTACCTTTTGCACCTTGCTGAGCTCGTCTAAGACGTGATGCTCCAAGCGCTTCAAGGCTTGCGTGAAGGTCTCCGGCAGCCTGGGCGCAGGGGGTCAGGCTTCAGGGCTCAGGGTTCAGGGTTTCAGGGTTTAGGCTTTAGGGTTTTTAGGGTTTTAGGGTTTCAGGGTTTAGAGTTTTACGGTTTAGGGTTTAGTTAGGGCTTAGGGTTCCGCTGCTGCTCGTCTGCTTACTGCGACTGCTGCTGCTAGAAATACAGTTTAACAGGCGCGGGACAGCGCAGTCCCAGAAGCATTCACTCTTGAGTCTCACATCCCAGCGTGACTCTGTGACATCATCTCAAGCAATAGCCAAAGCTTAGGCGAAAGCCAAATCGGAACCCCACTTAGTATCTCCGCTTGAAACCCTAGACAACAAGGATCCTGACCACCCGGAACCCCAATGAGAGCCACACTAAACCAAAGAACCCGCCCCTTAAAATCAGGCGAAAGCACTCCCGGGCTTCTTCCTCACACTTGGCTCCCTCATTCGCGAGGCTGCAGAAGCTGTCGTTCGTGTCGCTTCGAACTTCTCTGCCTCAACCACTGACAGGCCCTACACCCTTAACCTGAAGGCTACAGCACTAAAGCTTGAAACCCTGAGTTCATAACTCGAAGACAATAAAACCCCTAAACAGTTCGGGGTTCAGGCTCAGGGTCTAGGGTATTTACACGGAAAAGAGTAGACAAGTAGGGTCCAGGCTCTCGGGGTTTGCGATGCCCCCACTCACATGTATCCATGATGTATTCGGAATGTCGACACAACCACTCTTGCGCGCTTGCTGGTGACGATGATGATGATGGTGATGATGCTGTTGCTGATGCTGATACTGGTGCTGCTTACGATGATGAGAATGATGACAGTGATGGCGATGATGATGATGATGACGACGACGATGATGATGATGATGATGTTGATAATGATGATGATGATGATGATGATGATGTTGATGATGATGATGATGATGATGATGATGATGATGATGATGGCGATGATGGCGATGCTGCTAATGCTCACCGTTGTCACTAACTGCAACTAACTATCATCGTAATTGAGCCCTAAACCATACGTCCCAAAGCAAGCGACCGCAACACCGCAGAATGACATCCAGACAACTCAAACATCGTTATCCTGATGCCCCGCACCTTGACGTATATAGGGAATACCAGCACTGATCATATCAACTTCCAGCTCCCTGTGGCCCCTGTGCATAAACCCTACAATCCTCAACCTGGTGACCTTCCAAACTCCCAAACCCCAAAACTCCCAAAACTCGCAACGCAAACTCCCAAAACACGCCCAAACTCCCTTCAAACCCTAAACACCTTAGCCCTAAGCCACTCAGTGCCGGAAGGCTGCACTTTCCTTGGGACTCTAGCGACTCCACCCGGGGATTCAGGTCATCCTGCAGCTGGCGTCCTGGTTTAGGGTTAGGGGGTTAGGGATTCAAGGATTTCGGGATGTAGGGTTCGGGGTTTAGCTCAGATTTTTTCAGTTTTCGGGGTTTAGAATTTTAAGGGTTCAAGAAGCTTTGGGGTTCAGGGCTTAGGGCTTAGGAACAATAGTGCCAGTATTGCTTCTGGCGTTAGAGCTAAGATTGAAGTTCCCAAATGCTAAACTTGCCAAACCCTAAACCCAAAACCCTACACTGGCCCTGAAGTGCAGAACAATGAGTTGATGGCCAAGACTCGCAAGCGCCGTATTGCGGCCGCCGCGTCCTGACCGTCATCGCAGAAATCTCGAAACTTAAACCCTAAGGGTCCATGTGCCCAAAAAGCTTATACTTTGGCCCCAAATATACATATATATATATATGTATATATATATATATATGTATATATATATATAGGAACTAGTTTAAGGCCAAAGTATATACTATTTTGGGGTACATGGACCCTTAGTAGGGAAAGAGGTCAACCGACCGCCTCCCCGCCATCCGAAAAGCCTTGGAGATGCAGCGTGCAGTGGATAATGTAAGGGCCTTTTAATTAGAATAGGGTTTGAGGGTATGTTAAGCTATAATTAGAATAGGGACCCCCCAAAAAAATAATATAGGTATTTCTTAAGGCCCCTATATTGTTTAAGGCTAAATCCCAGGGAGTTTGCTTTTGGATCCATGGTTTAGACTTGGCCGGAGCCGAATCAGACGGTCGAGCTCTGAAGCCTCCCCGCCCTGCACCCTATGAGTCACGGTTTGGGGGTTTAGGGTTTAGGGTTTAGGGGTTTAGGGTTTAGGGTTTAGGGTCTACAAGCAAAAGCGAACGACACACATGAATCGCACCCTTCTTTACGTGAGAGTTCAGCACGCTCAAACCCCAAAGCCGCAAAACTCCCCAAAATTAGCCCCAAACACACTTCGAAGTCCCTTAACCCCAAAACCCTAAACCCTAAACCCTTAAACCCCTTAACCCTAAACCCAAACCCGTAAACCCTTAAACCCCGAAACCCTCAACCCTAAACCCGATCCCCAAACCCCTAGACCCTTAAACCCTAAACCCTAAACCAAACCCCTAAACCCTAAAACCAAACCCCTAAACCCTAAACCCTAAACCCTAAACCCCTAACCCCTAAAACCCTCAATCCCTGAACCTGCATGGAAGCTCCTCGCTTTCCAGGGCAGCGAGTCTCTCTTCCAGGGGTCGGAGCCGTTGACTCAGGTTCCGGTGCAGCTCCTGGTTCTAGGTTTAGGGGTTTAAGGGTTTAGGTTTTAGGGGTTTTAGGGGGTTAGGGGTTTAAGGGTTTAGGGTTTAGGGGTTTAGGGGTTAGGGGTTTAGGGGTTTCGGGTTTAAGGGTTTAAGGGTTTCGGGTTTAAGGGTTTAAGGGTTTAGGGGTTTAAGGGTTTAGCGTTTAGAGGTTTCGGGTTTCGGGTTTAGGGGTTTAGGGGTTAGGGTTTAAGGGTTTAGGGGTTTAGGGGTTTAGGGTTCGGGTTTAGGGTTTAGGGTTGAAGGGTTTAAGGGTTTAAGGTTTAAGGGTTTAGGGTTAAGGGTTTAGGGTGTAGGGTTCCGGTGCAGCTCCTGCAACATGGAGAAATCTATGTACAAATTAACGTAAATACACAATATGAAAACGATCAACAAATACAAACTAATAGATACAACAACAAACCTATAAATAAAGGAAAAGGTATATTCGTAAATAACAAATTTTATAATGATACGTATATCTATACATTTAGACATATATATATATATATATGCACACATAAAGAAATAGTCAAACATTAGGTTTACGTATGCAAAAACGTACGAATGCATGCATGCGGTGTATGTATATGTGAATGCACGCATACATCCGTTCATTGCGGCTTGGCAGGGTTTGGGATTTAGGGTTGAGAAGGGATGGGGACAACGGTCTACAGCCAAGAAGTGAGGGTTTTGGCACACATTCTACGATCAACACGTATCAAGGTTGCAAGGGAATTAATCATTAGATTAGGATGCAGTCCTGTTCGCAACCGTTGGGGTTGCTGAAGCTCTGCATCTTGCTTTACAATGTTGAAGAAAGGCGCAGAATGTAATGTCCTCCTCGCGCACGGATGTCTCCCTCAAGCTGCTTGCGAAGTGCTTCAGGTCCTGCGGGGGACCGTCATTCTTGATTTATATTACTGACTGTGATGATAGTCCTAATGAGTATTGACACGGGAAGTACCCACCACAGATTCTTTCCGGCAGAAGGAACACTAGCATCCAACTCCTCGTCGCACCCTCCATCTTTCACACATGCTGACATCCGAGGCACCTGCTTCGGGAGAACCTTGGCCCCCAAAACCCTAAACCCTAAACCCTCATCACTGGGTCCTGCTGTGCTTCTGACAACTGCCTCCCAATCTCTCGCTCGACCTCCTCTTGCCTGGGCACCAAGCACCCAAAGAGCGAAATGCCCGATGCAACCAAGCGTTCTAAGTACCATAAGCAGCAATAGTAAGAATAAGTCCTACAAAAGTTCAGCTATAGCCCCAGACACAGCTGCACAGCCCCTAAAGCCCCGAATCATAATGCTAACCGGATATCCCGGTTCAGGACTCCTGCAAGTTACTCCGACCCGAACCCTAAACCCTACAACCTGAACCCGGAAACCTAAGCCCTGAGCCCCAAAACCTGAACCCTACAACCTCAAGGACCTAAACCCTCACGCCTAACCCCACGATAATTCGGAACCCTAAACCCTAAACCCGGCAAGCGACGCTTTGGCAAGAATCCCACACCGGCCGTTCAGGGTCTGAACCTCATCTCCCAGACTTCTCCTTGGGACGTTGTGGGGCTTACTTGGAGGATCATGGGACTTAGTAAGTATGGTTATAAGTACCTTATTTGGGGTTATAAGTAGTTATAAGTATAGTTGTCCGAATAAAAACTTTAGCTACTAAGTCCCATGATCCCTTATGTAGGCTTTGCAGTGTCTTGCAGGGGGGCCACCCGCTTATAAGGTGTTGCGGCTTCTTCTAGAACATGGAAGTTGCGTGCAATTGGGGGCTTAGGGACTTTATTACGTAGGGTTTCGGCTCCAAGTTTGGCCCCTCGACCATATTTTCAAGTTTTGTCTTTGTCTTTCAGTGGGTTTAGAGACAATTGGGCTTACCCATAGGCCCCATAGTAGTTCCTTTTTGGGTTCATATTTAGAATCCTATAAGGTAATCTCAAAAAGGAACTACTATGGGGCCTATGGGTAGAGTGTCGAAGCGTAGAGGTTTTGGCGAGTTTGGGCCTGGTGCTCGCGCCGGCGCGCATGGGGCGAAGGGGCGGTCGGGCTTACGAAGGGTTTGTGTCAGGGGCTTTTGGGCTTTCTGCAGGGATTTAGGGTTTTTGGTTTAGGGCTTTCTGCAGGGATTTAGGGCTTATAGGGTTTAGGGTTTAGGGATGGTTGCGTGCAAGCCCGCAACCCGAAATACTCTTCCGCCTATTGCTATGTAGATCCCGCAGCTATTAGAAATGAATGCGCAGGCCCTTGCCTGCGGTGGGGGTTCCCAATGCCTTTCCTCATCAAATCAACAGACACCCCGTCCAGGCAAAAAGACAACATATCCAGAGTCATATTTAGCATAATCGCAATGCTCCTAGTCATAACAGATATCCTAGTCATCATGCTTAATCATAATACTCAGAATACATATAGGCATAATAACACTCAAGCTAAAAAACAATAATAATAGTAATAACAAGTATAGCACGATGCTGTTATGGGGAAACTCAGGATACGCATGCAATCCCGGAAACCAGACGTCAAAACCTACTATAGGAGCCTTAATAATTAGAATAGGGTTTGGGGGTACAGTATACGGTAGTTATAGTAAGGAACCTCCAGAACTGTATCGGGAATTATTTAGGCCCCTATTATGCCGGCTCAACCTCTGAACATACACCGAAAACCATCCCAGTGGTTCAAAGAGGGTTCAGGGTTTAGGGCTTCATCTACATGATAAGGATGGGCGCTTGGGACCTCATTCCCATTTAGTAGTATACAGGAGCCCCTGTGTTTAAGAGTCTGAATGTCCGAGCGTCCCACCTGAATGGCTTTGCCCTCAAGCCCTTCACTCTACGAATGATCCCTATAACGGTTTAGGGTTTGTGGTTAAGGTTCTCTGCCCCCCAAACATGAACACCCTAAACCCTAAACCCTAAACCCTAAACCCCCCAAATCCTAAGCCACACGTCCACAGAGCCTGGTGCCAAGAATCAAGCCTCTCGACATCTCCAGCAGCCGTGCCTCTGTTCGGCGCTGCTGCTCCTCTTGAGCTTTAGGTCGGGTTCGGAGCCTTACCCATAGGCCCTAAAGTAGTTCCTTTCTGGGGGTCATATATAGAATTCTATATATGAACCCCAGAAAGGAACGACTTTAGGGCCTATACATGAACCCCAAAAAGGAACTACTTTAGGGCCTATGGATAGCTAGAATATCATGGTTTAGGGTTTGGGGTTTTGGGCTTAACCAAAACACCCACATACTTCGAGCACTATGCCTTGATTGAAGAGATCTGGGCTGCGTATGTTGAGGATTTCGGCACTTCCGGGATCGGATTCTGAGGGTCTTCGGTTTCGAGGGTGCGGCGTTAAACCTCACAGGGCCGCTGAGGAGAATTTGAGGGTTCTTCCTGTGTTTCTGGCTACAGGCTTGCTATACTGACCTTGGGACCCTTGCAGAAACTATATGTTTAGCTGTTTCTTGTCGACTATAGTAACAAAAGGTTAAACTTGGCAAACTGTTTCTGAGTACCCTGAAGCTTAGACCTGCATCTGAGCAAGCTCTTGTTCCGGGTTGTGGGCTTGTCATGCGTGTATGTAGGGTTTCGGCGTTGGGAGTCGAGGCCGAGAATGCACTTTGAAGGTACCATAGAGGTGTTAGGGTTTAGGTTTACAGGCCTCAGAAATTAGAACAGGACTTTGGGGTATATTCTACTATATAATCACCCCAAGATAGTATTGGCAATTTTTCGGCGCTTATGGTACCAAGGTTTCACCAGCCGAGGCAGGTCAGGAGCTTTGCAAACCTGGGACAAAAGACCCCCGCTCACAGCACCGAATGCTAAAGCAGAAATCGTATCAGATGGTATAAGCTACAGCATATAGTTCGTTATTATCTGTTTGTATACTGCAATATAGCATATTTAGCAAACCCGAACCACCAAGCCACACCTCCTGGTCAAGCCCCGGAGGCCCTAATTGCTCAAGCATTGGCTCAAACCCCTGCGGAGGGCCTCAATCTCACCGAAACGGCCTGCTCGGAGAGGGTGATGACGATGAACTTGGAGATGACGGTGAGGATGGTGAGGATGGCAATGACAGTGATGACGGTGAAGCCGCCATGATGGCTGGTCATGATGGTGATGATGGTGATGATGAGCCGTCTGCCAGTACGGCGGCTGTTGCTGCTGCAGGTCTTTGAAGGCATTTACACATTCGGCTGAGAGTGTCAATAGCAGTATGTACACTGGAAGGAAAGAAGGAAGAAAGGAACCCTAAACCCGAAACGAAGGAGGGAGGGAAGGCAGGAAGGAAGGAAGCCCTAAACCCTAAACCCTAAACGAAGGAAGGAAGAAGGGAAGGAAAGACAGAAGGAAGGAAGGAAAAAAGGAAGCCCTAAACCCTGAACTCTAAACCAGAGAAGGAAGGAAGGAAGGAAGCAAGCAAGGAAGGAAAGAAGAAAGGAAGGAAGGAAGGAAGGAAGGAAGGAGGGAAGGAAGGAAGGAAGGAAGGAAGGAAGGAGGGAAGGCAGGAAGGAAGGAAGGAAGGAAGGAGGGAAGGACGGAAGGAAGGAAGGAAGGAAGGAAGGAAGGAAGGAAGGAAGGAAGGAGGGAAGGAAGGAGGGAGGGAGGGAGGGAGGGAAGGAAGGAAGGAAGGAA